TTCCTCCGCGGTGCCCGGCGCAGGCTTCGGAGCGCGCCTTGCCGTCTGACCCGCACGTGCTGTGTTCTGCAGGGAGTGCTATGCAGTCCAAGGGAAGCCCGCTCTCCTCCGTCCAGCCAGGGAACGTCCCAGCAAACCCCTGCGCCCTCCCCCAGCGGGCGCCTTCGCTCTCCTCCCCGAGACACAGCCAGGTTCTCCAGGGCGCATGATGCCAGGGGGGACGTCGCCCGCGAGAAAAAGGCCCCGTCGAAGCCTGTCGAGCAGCAGAGCGAAAAAAAATGCATCCAAGTCCATCGTGCTGTGTTTCAACAACGCGCCACCCGCCAAACTTGCCTGCCCGGTGTGTAGTCAGATGGTGCCCCGCTATGACCTGAACCGGCACCTCGATGACATGTGTGCTAGCCGCGATGACGTCACTCCGGTGGCCCCGGGGCTGGGCGGCGTCCCGGGTTCAGACGTGGCCCCTGGAGAAGGGGTAACACCGGAGAAGTCGCCACCATCCAAGACAAACTTAACCCCCGAGCAAAGCCACTCGGCAACAAGGGGCGCACAAAAGCGGACCAGCCCCTACTTTCAAGGTACCGATGGCGGCGTGTGCCACAGTCAAGACGCCGAGCTGAGATCTCGCCACGTCCAAGTCGTTCCTTTGGGAAGCCTGTCGTCCAAGTTATCCAGGAGGTACCTGCAGGCGAGAAGAGCCACGGAGAAGAACGAGGCCTCGGCCGCAGCGGTCAGGGTGGTGGCCAGCTGTGCTGTGGCTGAGGACGAGGATCGGGGCTTGGAGAGCAGCTCCCAAAAGGAAAACCTGTTTTCCTGTGATTCTCTTACGGAGCAAGATCCTGTCGAAGGCCCCTCATTAATGGCAGCTGCAAAGCCAGAGCCTCCCCAGGACCGTGGGAGGTCCACCCTCGCTCCTGCCTCCCCAGATAATGCTGTGTTATCGCCCCAACGAACTCCTGGGAATAATCCACTGTCCGCTTCCGAGGACAGCCGTGCAGAGCAGGAGAGCGTCGGACAAGCGGATGGTGAAGGTGTCGGGACACGTGAGGCCGGTGTTGGTGAAGAAACCGAAGTCCCTGAGGCTTCGGAATCTGAAACACAGCTTTCTGGGGAGGCGTCATCTCAGAGCTCTACCCATGACGCTTCCGAGTGGAGGGACTTCCACAAACTCCCTCTGGAAGGTGACAGCGGCTTAAAGGATGAAACCGCTCACGGGGTTCCTTCGGGGCTGGGGCCGAGCTGCGGTGTTCCTGGTGAAACGGTCCCAGCGCCGCCGCCCGGCCACCCTTACTACCTCCGCAGCTTCCTGGTGGTGCTGGGAGCCGTCTTCGAGAATGAGGATGACAGGATGCTCTTCGACGAGCAAGAGAGGGGAATCGTCGCTAAATTCCATCAGTTATCAGGTATCGTAATCGTGTGCTGTCGGGGTTTTGTCCCCTATTTGCTGGCCTGATTGGACAGGATGCTCTTCGACGAGCAAGAGAGGGGAATCGTCACTAAATTCCATCAGTTATCAGGTATCGTAAAAGCATGTGCTTTTGGGGTTTTGTCCCCCATTTGCTGGCCTGATTCAGGCCGTGAGGTGACGAGCAGCAGTCTAGTGGCCACAAGGAGTCAGTGTGGTTTTAAGAATCAACTGGGAGCACTCAGAGGAGTCAGCCTTCTACTGGTCTCCTCTAGGTCAGGATGTGTTTGGAAAGGAGACAAGATTTTGTGCCCTGTGATGTCTGTTCCTGTAGTTTCCTGCCTGTATATGTATACAGCAGGCCCTCCGATAATGTTGTGTTTTAATAGATTTTTACTGACTTCAGAGAGGAAGGGAGAGGGAGAGAGAGAGAGAAACAGCAACGATGAGAGAGAATCACGGACCGGCTGCCTCCTGCACGCCCCACACTGG